TCCCTTTGAGGCAAATAATACATTTGTATATACAAATGTGAAATAATCACTTCTATATTGAATTGCACCACCAAAATTTGGTTCTTTCTGCAACCTAACCATATCCATTGTATACACAAAATTTGGTTCTTTCTGCAACTGGAATTTGGCAATCAAACATCAGTTCATATGCAATTATTCGAATGAAATGTACAAAAAGAATAGTCATGACAGAAATAAGAACAAAAATATACTGCAACATGAAGAAACCAGACCAATTTTCCAATAAACTTGGAGTCAGTATGAATTCTTTTAGTATACTTACATGCTAAGTACATTCATATCCATCTATGTCAATCAAGATTTGGCTATGACTACCGGAAAGTGAAAGATTAATTGAAGCCAATCCAGCATTCCTGTAAGTGAAACATCGTTTCTAGTATACTTACATGCCAAGTACATTCATATCAATCAGTACCTCATTTGTATATTATGAGAACCAAGCGTAACTTCGCTAGTTCAAATTGAACTTCAAGAACTAGCTAGACTGTAGCCACAAAATCAATTAAATTTTCTGTTAGGTGAGGTTTTTGTTCCGACTTGGTTCACTTTCTCCTCTAGAAGACTATTGTCTTCTGTCAGCTTCTTTTCCTGCCCAAAAAGGACACCAAGTAAGTAACTCAGACTGCATTGCAAAGCAGGTATCAAATAATCTTGTGACATTCACTCTTTCAATTTGTTACCTCTTGTATTATTGAAAATATGTATTGTTTCTCTTAACATCGAACGAGATATATGTAGCTTTGCAATGGATTCTGTTTCATTTTCCATCAGAACTGGCATCATTATTTTTTAAAGCAATTTCTATTCTTAAACCTCCTTGATGGAAGCTATCGTGTTCTTTTCTCACTAGCTATACGAGTAATTGCCTAAATTAACTATAAGAATGAGAGTATACACAACTTTTCAAACCACTAAGCTTGGAGCCATAAAAATGGTAGTCAACTGAAATCTCAACGGTTTGTGAAAGCAATAACCTACTGATACAGTATCAAGTGGCTATGTTTGGCATGGAAGTCTAGACAGTGTTGGTAGTTTTACGGAATAGATAGAAGATAAAATGTTCCTCTGTCTAATTGTACTAGCTACAAACTTGCCCTTCCGATTTTACTAGTTTCCTAGTTCCTCATTTCTCCCTGTGTTGAATCTGATAGCCAAGCAGAGAAAATAGGCACACGGCTGCTTATTGCAAACATTTGCAATGTAAAAAAAATAAAAATAAAGGTTGTCATTCTTGGTTCCAAAACTTGTCCAATTGCATCAACTAGGCTGCCTTCGAACTTTGATTTTTTGCTGCTCATCGTGATTTAAGCTATACTATGCAGACTTTCAAGTTTCTACTTGATGTGATCCTCACAGTCACAAGACTCTATTTCAGACAGCAAAGATGCTTTATCTTCCGCCAAACCTACTTCTTTTCTCAACAATGCACCATGTTTTCCTGGTTCTCCTATCATGCTA